TTATTTACGTGTAAAGCTAATTTAAGAGTTGCTCACCCCCCCCCCACCCCGGCCTTTTCCCCATTTAAAGTTATTTACTCTGGATATAATAATTTATTTAGTTTTATAGATTTGTTTTATAAACTGTGAATCATCTCAGGTAAGTGAAATGGGACTTAAAGATCACCCCAGAGGTGGGATGGCATATAGACTATATCATTTTGAAGTTATTGGCATTCATGGTGGATAATTCAATCAAAGCAATGACCTCTGTAGGACAAATGCATTGCTTGTTAAGTGGCTTCTGGATATTTGGATGGCTTGAAGACGTTTCAGTTTTTGTCCATTATATTGGGTTTAAAACCATTGTGTTGCTAGAAACTAGTTCAATACCTTGTGTCATTAGAACTAGAGTTTCCATCATGTTTCTCACCAGGAAGTTACCTACGAGGACTGCTGGTTCTCTTACTTTACAGATGAGGGGATAGACTTAGTGGAAGTGAGTGATTTGTCCAAGGTTACACAGCTTGCTGGTAGCACAGCTGGGAATGTAATTCAAGTTTCTTTCTTCCTAGCCCTGCTCTTTCCACTGTAGCACATGTTCTTTCAATACCACTATCTGCAGCCTTGAAAGATTCCCTAACTATACACTAAAAGTAGCCCTTAGTGACAACAATTACAGTGGAACTTATACATGAAGAAGATAAACCTGGCTGTTGATTTAGAATCTGAAAGGGGTCATGCATACTCTATGACTTGTATTTCTAAGTTTTACATTTATTTATCTTTGTACTGTGTCACGGGGTAAACTGTATAACTATAAATAAACTTGACAGGACTTGACCCTGAACTGGTTGCATAATGAAATGTTTTGGAATTGAAAATCCTGCTGAAAAGTACCATTTATTCTCCTGCTGTTTCACAGTAACCAGACATATACATGTAGCAGGTATATTTTACTTCAACCATCCCTCGGTTTTAGGGTCCCACCATGCTTTAACTTGGTTGCTAAAAGTGAACCCCCTTATAGTCATGTATTTCAATATGCTACTATGAAAGCTTTGTCTAGGAATGGATAAGTAAAATGAAGTTTTTACCTTATTTTTCAGTTGTTTTTATAATTACGTAAATAACAGACCCTTAATGTAGAAAAAGGAGAAAGTACACAAAATAAAATGAAAAACCACAATCCTGACACATTGAGAAAGCTGCATATGTTGCTATATGTTATATAAAAACATATATTTTTTGTGGAAAGCTGTGTCATGCTATACACACTGTTTTTCAGCCGCTTTCTTTGGAAACAGATATCTTTTCTCATGAATAAATATTCATCTAATATCATTCTTAATAATTGCATGGTATTTCGTTTTAAGGTGTAACCTAGGGTGCTTTCAGTCTCTCACTAAGTATGTTACCATATATGATTTATCTTTTAAAAAGTTGTCAGTATGAATCTACATTCTTCAGTTCTTCCCCTGCTGATATGTGTATTATCTCTTGGTCTGCATCTGACACTTGAGCTGTCAGGATACCATAAAAAAACCCGGGAGGACTAAAAGGTCTCACTCTTAACTACAAAAACAACTGCTGTCCCTTAAGTGTCACTGTACTCAGCTCTCTCTCTCTCCCTCTCCCTCTCTCTAGGTGGCTCTGCCTCTTTCTCTTTCCCTCTTTTCTTCTCATATTCATTCTTTCTTTTCCTTTTTCTTCTTCTTTTTCTTTTCTTCTTCTTTCTTTTTATTTTTTCTTAAATATATCCCTTCTATCTTATTTCCAAATCATTTTGTGTTTTTTGTTTTTCCATCATAATTCTTGATATGGCACGCAGTATCATTTCCTACTATGGAATTCTCACCATGAAATTGTCTGTTGAAGGGAACCTGCTTACAAGCTGTTCTCTCTATTCCATTGGTAAAGCTGAGTCAAGGTTCAAGCACTTGAAAGACCTCTGCTTCAGGCCAAGTAAAAGAGGCTTGTCCTGGGCCATAGCCTCTCAGAGGAGGCTCCTTATCCCCAGCACATACCTGCCTTCTGCTGATGGATTTTTTTTCCCTTATTAAATTCTAATTTCTAAGGAAAATTCAGGCCTTCTTATATTACAAATCACAACACTTATTGCTAGTGATGGTTTTTTCAGAGTTGTAACAATTCCTTTTTCCAGAAATATAACTATTTCACAATGAATTCAGGGATTTAGGTTTTAACTTGAAATTTCTCTGTGCTCATGCCTGAAAAAACTTACATGCATCCTTTCCTCCTACTCTGCACTCCTCTCTCTCTCTCTCTTTGACACTCAAATATAGCATTGCTTCACCTGTGGTTCCTGAGGGCATTTTTCTATCAGTGTGCCCTATCTCCTGACATTGCTGTATCTCTGTAGTAATCTGTGTCTTCGTGTTGAAGGGTCAAATGTGTTTAGCGGAGGGTTGGTGGAATATTTGTTCTTAAACCAGGTATAGTCTTCTATGAACCACTTAAAGTAAAATGTGCTTTACTTTATTGAAAAAAAATATCCTTTTGTGATGTACAGCATACTTCCCCTGTTGTGTTTATTGTTATTGTTTATTTCCCTATGTGAAATGAAATTATAGGAATTCTGCTTAGCACTTTCTAGAGCAACAAAGAATTACTACCCGCCCCCCAACACCATTTAAGTGGATTGAAGGTCAAAGTCATACGTTAAGCTGTTTATATATTTTTAAAGAAGCTTATTGATTATCCCTACCTATTCCTTAAATAAATCTTAATCCTCCAAATGTAGCAAAAAGCTATTTCTACATTTAGGCATGTCTGAAATGTAGGAACAACATGCCTTTAGTTGGCCAGGTCTGGTTTGGATCAGCTAATACACTTTGCAAAGGGGATTATCTAAATTAAGCTTTGCTTCCTCCCCATGGAATGTCAGGGGTTGTGTCTGGGTGTGTGACTTACCAGCTTTGAGTGTGATGGGGCCTCAGCTGCCAAGTCGGTGAGCTGGCCCTTATGAGGGTCCACCACTTCTTTGGCAGAACAAGGAGGAATATTTTATGGACGGGATTATACTACACAATCATGCTGAGAGGTCCTGCTGATTTACATCCTGACAAATTAAATGCATCACTTGTAGGGTTGAAAAAGGATTTTGGGGCTCATTAGATTCACTTCTTTATCCACTAAATGGCCAAAGGCACAAAGCAAGAATAGGATTAGCAACATTTGCTCTACTGTTTGTTTTCCTAACAGTCTAGTAGGGGGTGACTCCAAAAAGCTTCCAGTTTGCTTTCTTTAGGAATTTTTTTTTTCTTTTGTTGGATGCTATCCTAATCTTACAATGGTTTTGTTCCTTACCTCAAGGAAAGAGCATTTGGAAGTAAGAGATGAGTAATTGGCCCATGTAATTGAAATTATCAACCAAGAACCCAAGAAATTATTAATGTTTACCTTGCACATAGAGGGCTGGATCACAAAGTGGAACATGTAATTGTCAACTTTTATTAGATTCCTCTAGTATATTTCCTGTCAAGTCAACTCAAGACCATAGAAAAGAGAGATGGATGGGGAAAGATATCATAGTTCAAATCCTTAGAGCTGAACCAAATATGTAACTGAATATTTTGATCTAAAAGTTTGGTAAACTGATTGGGTTTCAAGACACCTGTCCATCTCTGTCTTAACCCCAACTTTTTCCAAGGTGGGAGCAGAGCCAGGCAAAAAATTATTCCAGAAGAAATTATTCTGCCTGACCAGGAGGGTACACAGGAAGGGAAAGGAGCATCTTATGTACACAAATATGCAGTACTGGGGCTTTCCTGATAATTGTGTTGAATATATAGAGTGAATATTAGGGAAATTTCTGGTAACACCCATCCAGTGACGTGAAACTACACATGTGATGGACACTCCAAGATAATTTTATCAAAACTATCTGCTACCTACCTAATATCAGGCGAACATCTGTGCCAGGTGCTTTACCTACATTACTGCTAATCCACCAACTAATTCTGCAGAGTATCTATTATTATTTCTATTTTATATAGAAAGGGCAGTTCACAAAGGTCAGGTTTACTTGTCCATGACCAAACAGCTAGTTTATGGCAAAATTAGGGTTCAAGTCCATAATGATTTCCTGTCTTAAATATTATAAAAATATTTTTTCAACATGATGCAGCCTCAAGACTAATTGATGTGGCTGTCAAGTATCCTCTTAATACAAACAGATATAAGTTTAAAGAAAGGGGTAAGCCAGTTGTTTTTGGCCTATTCCTATATAGATCATTATTTATTCCTGCTAATACTGGAGTAGGAAATATGAAGTATTTATTTTACCTTGGGAATTCACTGAACTGATGTGACAAGCCTCATCTATCTTCTAGCTGGAATTTATGGGAAGTTACTAAGTTAACTAATTTTAAGTGATTGAAATGTGTGTACTTTCAAGATACTAAATTATATCTTACAAACAAATTACTGTCATGGCATAATAAAATATTGATTTTAATCCTGAAGATGCTTAAAGAAATGAAAAGTTAAGTCACAGTCTTTAAATTAAAGCCATCTTCCATTTGA